GCGCGGAAGGGGGAGGCCGCGGCCGGGGCCGGCGGGATGGGGCGGGGTCGGCCCGACCGGCGCCCCCCGCCGCAGCCTCACCTGGGCTGCCCGCCCGCCTGCACCTGGGCTGGGTCCGCGCGACCCAGAGCGGGGTACTGGGAGTGCGAGCGCGGCCGGGTGTGCTGGGGTCGGGCCCGATCAGCCCGAGCGGAGGGCGAGGGGGTGCAGCTGCCTCGTGTGCCGGTATGGACGTGGGCGCCCTCGCTCGACGCCGGCCCAGGGAAAGCCGAGTAGGAAGGGGCCCACGGCCCGGGTCGAGCCTGCCCAGGCCGTCCCGACCTGCTTCCGCCCTGGCGGCCTAGCTGGAGTCTGGAGAGAGTGCTGGGCCTGGCCTGGACCCTTCCCTAGGGCTCCCCTTTTAGGCCGCCATGGACTGGAGGTGGCCCAAGTGCCCGGGCTCGGACTGGTTCCTTCCATGGGCTGCAGGGATGCCAGAAGGTCCCGGTTCCCTGGGCTGGGGTGGGTGGATGGGGCCCCCGGCCCAGGCAGCTGCTAACATCCTGGGGTGCGCTAACCCCCTTTGGCCCTACAGCTCACCCACTTGAGGTCTGCAAGACGACTCTGCCCGAATGCCACCCCCAGCCTCCTCCCTGCCGCCTAATTCCTCTGTCTACTTGGTGCAGGGTCTGCTGGCCTCGTGCGATAGGCCCAGATCCCTCCCTCTGGATCCTCCTTCCAGTCACTGAGAACCCCCAGGCCTGCCCTGTGGGAAGGACTTCCGGTGGAAGTCCCTGGTTAGGAGCCCACTGGAACCCTGAGGGCCCTGGAGGCTTTGTCGGCTGGGTCAGAGGTCAGCCTACAAGGAGCGGGATTCCTGCTGAGTCATTGGCTGGGGTCGGATAAGCGCCCCTCCCTCCCTTGGGGCAGGCGTTTGGTAGGCACATGTGTGGACAGACCACTGTTGGGGTTCTCGGTCGCTAGCTGGGAGTGGCTGCTGCCCAATCCATAGTCAGGGGTGTACAGATTAATGAAAGGAAACAGGCAAAGTAATAAGGCAGGGCCAGGCCACCTGGTGTGCTCACGCTGTGCAGGCGTCCCTTCCTGAACAGTCCTGTCAGCTGACAAGGTTTCTTGCCTACCCTGGGATGCCCCCACCATGCGCTGCACGCATCCCGGACAGTTCCTGCCAATTTCCCTCCTCCGTGAAGTAGGAGAGTGTTGGATCCCTTCTCCGTCCCTCCCTGACTTGGAAAGTGGCACCCTCAAAGGTAGTCAGCAGGGTAGTGCCCCCTCCCAGTCAGATACACTGCAAGATAACACATCCTGTTGTCAGATACCGGCTGAGACCCTGGTACAGACAGGTCCGTACCTCACAGCCCTGGGCAGCCAGCCTCAGTCTGGTCCTGGACAGTGTGGCCACCCAACAAGTAATCAGATGCAGTCAAGGGATGGTGCCCCCACAAAGGAATGGCAGAGCAGCTTTTCCTCAGACAATCAGACCAGGGAGCAGACCTGCCTGGTGTGACTGAATGGCACACAGAGGTATCCATGTCACATTCAGTTAGCCTGCCACCCCCTGGGGAAGACAGGAAAGGTTCCCCAGGTTGGCCTGACCCCCAACATTCTCGAGCAACTGTCTCCAGCTGGCCATTGACCCCGTCCAGTGCACCTGGGTGGGGCACGGGGCACCACCCCTGGGGGGCTGTCTGGCAGTACCAGTATTCAGGAAGCTACAAGCTAGGCAGGGTTGGGGTCCTGCAAGGAGCAGCAGGGGCATGTGAACAGTACCCTGGGCTCTCCTTCCAGCTTAGGGGGTTGAGTGTCCAGGTACTTCAGGGGTCCTGGACCTGGCCTTCCAGGGCCAATGATGGCTTTCTGCCACACAGGCATGCCCTGTAGAGGCAGGTGGGCTGGAGCAGAGTCAGTGAGGCATGGGTGATGGTGTGAAGTTGGGGTGAGCAGTGAAGGTGGAGAGACACATCAGAGCCCAGGATGAACCCACTGGCCACAGCAAAGGGCTCTGACTTCTTCCGGAGTACAGCAGGGAGTCCGGCAGCAACCAGAAATTTGGAAAGGTCACCGCTGCCACACAGGGCTGGGCTTGGCAGAGACAGGCCTCCAAGTTCCTGCCAGGGTGGGAAGTATGGGTCTGGGGAGGAGTGGCACCAGAGGTGTGGCCCAGGGAAGTGGAAGGGTGGGCCAAAGGGAAGGGAGGATCCTGGTAGATGGGGGCAGAGGGCAAGGGTCAGGGTTCAGAGGGCTTAGAGGTCAGTGAGTGAGTGGGGTGTGGGGCTCAGTGTGAGACCCTGCAGGATAGGTCCAGGTGTATATGGGGCTTAATGCTGCATCCCAGGACAAGCTCTGTGTACTGAGCTCACCTTGGGCTAGATATGATATCAGGTCAGTCCTGACAGCTGCGTCTTTCAAAGATTTTATACAAGTTAGTTTTAAAGGTTACACTCCATTTACAGTTATTGCAAAATACTGGCTACAATCCCCATGTTGTACAGTACATCCTTGTAGCCTGTCTTATACCCAACAGTTTGTACCCCCCACTTCCTCCACCCCTACTGGTAACCACTAGTTCGTTCTCTATATCTATGAGTCTGCTTCTTTTTTGTCATATTCACTAGTTTGTTGTATTTTTTAGATTCCACATATAAGTGAGATCACATAGTACTTCTTTCCCTGTCTGATTTACTTCACTTGGCATATTGCCCTCCAAGTCCCTCCCTGTTGCTGGAAGTAGCAAAAAAAATTTTTTTTTTTTTATGGCTGAGGGCACAGGGAGCAGCCCAGGGTCCCCTGGCACTGGGGACAGAGACACATAGGCAGTGGCCCAGCTTGTCCAGCACCCACAATGCGAGGAGTCATGGAAATGCATCTATGTCATAAAGTTAGAAGAAAAAAGTATAATAATAAAGAATACAGCCTGGATTATATTTTCTTTATGTCCTAAAATATTTTTTTAATGGAGGAAGGGGCCCACAAAAAGGAAGTGCCTGGGCCACAGAGGCCAGAAAGTAACCCTGCGTGGGGGTTTTGTGGAAGCCAGGGCACAAGGCACTCCTCAGGTCCTGGTGAGAGCAGGGGCCCTGCCAGCACAGCCAGAGCAGCAGGAAACAGATGGCTGGGATGCCTCTGTCTCCGCACACTTCTGATGTCCCCCCAACTAGGGGGCATCCTAGAGTCTGGGGTGCCCTGTAAGGGCAGGGGCTGAACCGCACAGCCCACCCAAGATCTCTGATGGCCCCTTCTATGAAGTGTGTCCACATAGGGTGGGGGTGGGCCCAGAGCCCCTGCCCCTGTAATGTGTCTTCCTGCCCTTCCCCCAGGTCCCTGGCCCCGACATGGCCCGTCGCTCCCAGAGCTCCTCGCAGGGGGACAACCCGCTAGCACCTGGGTACCTGCCACCCCACTACAAAGAGTACTACCGCCTGGCAGTGGACGCGCTGGCCGAGGGCGGCCCAGAGGCCTACAGCCGCTTCCTGGCGTCCGAAGGTGCGCCTGCCTTCCTGTGCCCTGAGGAGCTGGAACACGTGAGCCGCCACCTACGGCCCCCACAGCATGTTGCTCCTGAGCCCCCAGAAGGCAGCCCTCCCAATGTGGACTTGGATGGCTCCTCTGGCACCTACTGGCCTGTGAACTCAGACCAGGCGGTACCTGAACTCGACCTGGGCTGGCCCCTGACCTTCGGCTTCCAGGGCACTGAGGTCACCACACTGGTGCAGCCACCGCCACCTGACAGCCCCAGCATCAAGGACGAGGCTCGAAGGATGATCCGCTCTGCCCAGCAGGTGTGCTGTCACAGGCTTAGCCGGCAGTGGGGAAGGGCAGCCTGAGTCGGACCTTTGAAGCATGAGTAGGAGGGTGAGGGTGAAGGAAAAATATAAGCATGCCCAATTTAGGAGGCAAGGGTGAGGCCAGGGCTGGCTGGCCAGGCCTCTCCAGCCTTCAGGCCACAGTGATGGTTCCCTGGCCAACTTCCAGGATCACCAAGGGTTTGGTTATCGCAGGCTGCTAGCTTTGCACAGGTGTGCTTGCCCGTGGGCATGGCCAGTGCCCAGAAACTCAGGCTGTGAGGTGGCTTGGCCCCTTCCTTGCCTGGGTCTATTGTTCGGAGAATTCTCTCTGGTCCTGCCCTTGACGCAGCTGAGGCTTCTTCCCCCACCCCAGCACCATCAAACAGCTGGCAGACGCAAAGGGAGCCTGTTAAACCAGGGACACTGCGGCAGCAGATTCAGACGCTGAAGAGCCCCTGTCTCTGCCCCCTGCCCCTCAGGTGGCAGCCGCCTCCCATAGGAAGAACTGGAGCCTGAGGCTCAGCCCTGATGCCTCCCCTGGGGTCCTGGGAGCTCAGCCATCTAAGGCAGCGGGGTCATGGGGGCCTCATCTGCCTTGCCCCCCCATTCCCCCACAGGGCCCCATTCCCTCCTGGGATGGGCTAGTGGCCATTTTGCAGTGTTTGTTGGTGATCCAGAGACCCCCGAGGGTGGGGGGCATAGAAGTATGGTGGGGATAGCAGAGGGGTCTGCCCTCTGTCCCTGATCCGACCCCCGCAGGTGGTGGCTGTGGTGATGGACATGTTCACCGACGTGGACCTTCTTGGTGAAGTGTTGGAGGCTGCTGCTCGCCGCGTTCCAGTCTACATCCTCCTAGATGAGATGAATGCGCAGCACTTCCTGGACATGGCCGACAAGTGCCGCGTCAACCTGCACCACGTGGATGTGAGCGACCGGAGGGTGGGGAGGGGGCGGATAGGCGGGAAGGGGTAAGATCCATCTGCAGAGACCTAACACCTCTCCGGTCCCAGTTCCTGCGTGTGCGCACTGTGGCGGGCCCCACCTACTACTGCCGCACTGGGAAGTCCTTCCAGGGCCATGTGAAGGAGAAGTTCCTCCTAGTGGATTGTGCCGTGGTGATGAGTGGGAGCTACAGGTGCGCCTAGCCTCGTTGCCCCGCAGCCCCAGCACCTCCCCATCCGAGGGCCTCCTCTCCAGAAGCCCTCCTCCTGTAGCCCCTGGCACAGCCCTGCCTGCCCCTGCCCCGCCCCTCCCTCCCGCTAACGGCCCCGCCCCTTCCCCTGACTAATCACACCCGCTCCCGCTGACTGGCCTCATCCCACTCCCAGCTTTATGTGGTCCTTCGAGAAGATCCACCGCAGCCTGGCGCACGTGTTCCAGGGCGAGCTGGTCTCCAGCTTCGATGAGGAATTCCGCATCCTCTTCGCACAGTCCGAGCCGCTGGTTCCCTCGGCTGGGGCGCTAGCCCGCATGGATGCCTACGCCCTGGCTCCATACGCCGGCGCTGGGCCCCTCATGGGCGGCCAAGTGACGGGGGCACCGACCCCTTTCTCCTTCCCAAAACGAGCCCACCTCCTGTTCCCACCGCCTCGGGAAGAAGGCCTGGGCTTCCCCTCCTTTCTCGACCCTGACCGCCACTTCCTGTCGGCCTTCCGCCGAGAGGAGTCACCGCGGATGCCGGGGGGCGCCCTGGAGCCGCACGCTGGGATGCGGCCACTGTCACGGCGGCTGGACGCCGAGGCTGGACCAGGCGGGGAACTCTCGGGCCCGCGGGGCTTCCTTCAGGCACGGCACCTAGAGATGGATGCCTTCAAGAGGCACAGCTATGCGGCCGCAGACGGCATGGGCGCCGTGGAGAACTTCGCAGCCGCGCGGCAGGTGTCGCGACAGGCGTTCCTCAGCCACGGTGATGACTTCCGCTTCCAGACCAGCCACTTCCACCGCGACCAGCTCTACCAGCAGCATTACCAGTGGGACCCGCAGCTTGCCCCCGCACGTCCACAGGGCCTGTTTGAGAAGCTGCGCGCCGGCCGCCCTGGCTTCACCGACCACGATGACTTCACCCTGGGCGCCGGGCCACGCTTCCCCGAGCTCAGCCCAGACGGACACCAGCGGCTGGACTACGTGCCGTCCAGTGCGTCGCGGGAGGTGCGCCATGGCTCGGACCCCGCCTTCGGGCCCGGGCCCCGTGGTCTGGAACCCGGCGGGGCCCCACGCCCCAATCTGGGCCAGCGCTTCCCTTGCCAGGCTGCAACGAGGCTAGGCCCAGAGATTGGGCCCGAGGCGGAGCCGGAGCGCAGGGGCGGGCCCGAGGGGCGGGCGGGACTGCGGCACTGGCGCCTGGCCTCCTACCTGAGCGGCTGCCATGGTGAGGACGCGGGTGACGAGGGCCTGCCTGCACCAATGGAGGCCGAGGCCTATGAAGACGATGTGCTGGTTTCTGGGGGCCGGGTGGCCGCCGGGGACCTACTTCCCTCAGCCTTCCGCGGCGGTGGTGGGGATGGCCCAGATCGCGAGGGCCTGGAGGAGGCAGGCCTTACCAAACAGGATTCTTTCCGCTCGCGCTTGAACCCGCTGATTCAGCGCAGCTCGCGGCTGCGCTCCTCACTCATCTTCAGTGCCTCGCAGGCTGAGGGGACGGGCGGGGCCGCAGCAGCCACCACGGAAAAGGTGCAGCTGCTGCACAAGGAGCAGGCGGTCAGCGAGATGGTGGGGTCCAGCGGCGAGGCTGTACGCTCTGCTGCCTCCACCAAGGTGGCCGAGCTCCTGGAGAAGTACAAGGGCCCGTCTCGAGATCCCGGCGGCGGCGGCGGCGGCGGCGGCGTGGGGGCCTCAGTCACGGTGGCCAGCCATAGCAAGGCTGTCATGTCCCAGGCGTGGCGGGAGGAGGTGTCGGTGCCTGGTGGCACAGGGGGTGAGCGCCGCAGCCTGGAAAGCTGCCTGCTGGACCTGCGCGACTCCTTCACACAGCGGCTTCACCAGGAGGCTGAGCGGCAACCGGGAGCTGCCACTCTCACTGCCACCCAGCTGCTCGACACCCTGGGTCGGAGCGGCAGCGGCACAGACCGGCTGCCTTCCCGCTTCCTCTCTGCCCAGGGCCACTCCACCTCCCTGCAAGGGCAAGACAGCCCCCCACCAGAGGGGCCTGGAGCTCACCAAGCACCCCACTCTGAGCCAAAAGGGAGTCCCACCTCAGCCTACCCAGAGCAGAAGGGGGGTCCCACGCCTGGGTTCCCCACCCGCAGAGGCAGCCCCACCACAGCATTCACCGAGCAGAAAGGGAACCCCACCTCTGTCTACCCTGAGCGCAAGGGCAGCCCGGTGCCCCCTGTGCCAGAGCGCAGGGGCAGCCCAGTACCCCCTGTGCCAGAGCGCAGGGGCAGCCCGGTGCCCCCTGTGCCAGAGCGCAGGGGCAGCCCAGTACCCCCTGTGCCAGAGCGCAGAGGCAGCCTCACCCTTCCCCTCTCTGGGGAGTCTCCGAAGACCGGGCCCACAGAGGAGGCGGCCGGCGGTCCCATGGAAGTTTTGCGCAAGGGCTCCGTGCGGCTGCGGCAGCTGCTGAGCCCCAAGGGTGAGCGGCGCACAGAGGATGAGGGCAGCTTCCCAGCTCCGCAGGAGAACGGGCAGCCTGAGAGCCCCCGGCGCCCGTCTCTGGGCCGGGTTGACAGCGCAGAGGCCACAACGGGAGATGAGCGGGGCCCGCGGGGACGCGTAGCCTCGGCCACAGCTAACGCCTTGTACAGCAGCAACCTGCGGGACGACACGAAAGCCATTCTGGAGCAGATCAGCGCCCACGGCCAGAAGCACCGGGGAGGCCCCTCCCCGGCCCCGACCCCGACCCCCGCCCATGGCAGCCCCGAGCTAGGCCGCCCACCAGCTGCCAGCGGCCTGGCCCCTGACATGTCCGACAAGGACAAATGTTCAGCCATCTTCCGCTCAGACAGCCTGGGGACGCAAGGCCGGCTGAGCCGCACGCTGCCAGCCAGCGTGGAGGAGCGCGACCGGCTGCTGCGCCGCATGGAGAGCATGCGCAAAGAGAAGCGTGTCTACAGCCGCTTCGAAGTCTTCTGCAAAAAGGAGGAGGCCGGGGGGCCAGGGGCCGGGG